GGAACGGTATAAAGTATGAAAGGTGGTGGATTGGCCAATTGGTCATGATCGACTCTGGCCTGGACCAATTAAAGCTGAGGGGGTCAGATGCACCCTCCCCCTTTGCTTGGGCAACAGCTCTGAAAGCAATCTTATCACCAGTATCTGCTTTAATCTGCACATTTGAGAGTTATACCAGAAAGCCAGATACTACAGGAGCTACAGTATCCAGAGTCATACGCAGTAAGGAGGTAAAATTACTAAATAGATGTCGACTCCTTTTGGAGTAGCTGCTCTGAAGATGATAACAGTGGGAGAGTTATATTCTTAAACTCAGTTACAGCGCTTTCAGAAAGACATCTACTGTGATGAAGTCTACTCCCCACTGCTGTGTAATCAGTTATTGTAAATTTAAATGTTATTATGAAATGATCAGACAGGAGAGGATTTTCAGGAAACACTGTTGTTCAGTTTCTATGTCATATGTTAAAACAAGAACATATGTGTGGAATTACACAACATCAATAAAATAAAGTCACATGCAGCCAGTCAACACAACAACAACCAGCAGCTAAGTGCACCAAGAAGCCAGAACACAGTCGAAGGTCTCTGCTTAGCAAACCCTGCAGCAGCTCTGCTCCTGAAACTGACAGTTTGGAGGCGGAACATGAAGGAAGAAGGCACTCATGTGATTGGTCACTTTCAAAGCAGCCACGCCACAGCCTCTGTGATTGACAGGCCCAGTTACTGCGTTAAACCGGGAAACATCGGGGACACAAACTCTGTGTTTACAATTTCGAAAATGAACGTTTGCCAAATTAACTGTCAACACTTATACTGGTGACTATTACTGGATTACTTTAATGATGAAGAAATCTTAAAAACTGACAAATCGAAGGACTTTTTGTGGGTTTTCAGGAAGCAGCACACAAACCGCTGACACCGACGTCACATCTAAAGACATCTCCAAATGAACCAATGAGTATCAGAAATAATCAAGAGGATACTTTCATTTTATTGATCTGCTACAGTGATCAAACCAGCTCCTCACTATGTCCTGCGTTACGCGTGTATACTGGGTATTACGGTAAGGGAAACTGAGCTCGGATTTCAAACTAAAAGCAGTTTGTGATTTCATCATTAAACAGCATGTATCCAGTCATTAGTGATATAATAAATCATGAAATACATAAAAATATAGAAATTGTTGTTAAAAATGTTAGAATTGTACATACTATATATTGGCGACTATCAAACTTTTGAGTTGCCAAAAGTCAAAGTTCCAGTTTAAAAACTCCTTTATTTGTTTTCAATATCCTTAAAACCATAGAAAAACTGTGATCAAAACATTCCAGGCTTGAGCGGTCAGCAAAAGTCAACTTGACCCGCCACCCACTCATTCACAAAAATTCCCTTGGGCCGTGAACAGCTGATACAGCAATCACTACTACTATTATCAACACCACGTGAGCCAAAGCTACACCTATCCACAACACTATATATAAAAACAAATTTTACTATGCTTGGTTGACACATTCATTTGAATTGTTATACATTACTATCATAATAAAGATATTACTTTAGTTTAACAATTTTTATAATTATTTTTGCTACTGTTATTGCTACACTGATTTTTACAAAGACTGGTACTATTGCTATTATTATGGCTGGTTAACTGTTATTAGTATTAAACTCCAGCATACCCTATGATGGAGTTCATTGTTTTCAATTATATTCTCATTCTGACTTCATTCTGAAGGTACAACTTCATATAATTGTGAAAAGCTACCACAGAGAGACAGTCAACCATTAATGTTCACATCGACACATATCATTATGATCAATATTAACAGCTCCAGTGGTATACACATTCACCTAACAAGAGAAAGTTTCCTGCTCTGATGAGGAGGCGTCACCAAAGGAGTCCAAATGTGCAGAGCTGCCTGCTGTGAAGACCTCTTGTGAATAATGCAGCAGCCAAAGTAGCTTCTTTATGGTGTCAGAGCTCAGTTTTTCAAAATAATAATAAAATTCCACAAAGTTATAAAATATTTATTTTCTTATCTGATTTTAAATCCAAATTTAGAATGGATTGTGAGGAAATTTAGTGTCTTCACAAATTAATTTCACTTCTGATTGATACGGACTTAGATTTCAATTTATGCCACAATTTAAGTTATTATTGGTCTATACCTGTAAACGTATAGTGAAAGAAAGGGGACTGGAGACGAGTGCTCTGTGTACCATGGAAAGTCTCCCGGTAGCTCGAACCTACAGCAGCATAACTAAGGGAGGATTCAGGGTCACCTGACCCAACCTAACCGTGTTTGAATCCAAACTGGGGCTGTTGAAGGACATAACCTTGTTAAAAAATGACCACAGGATTCCTCACAGTAATCCTGTCTGGGTTCTCTCCTGATGCTCTGGCTTCCTTCCGCAGTCCAAATACATGCAGGTAGTGTGGTTAGGTTAACTGGTGTTTCTAAATATCCCATAAGTGTGAATGTGAGTTCCTGTCTGTGTTAGCCTGTGATAGACTGACAACCTGTCCAGGGTGTACCCGCCTCTCACCCTGTGACAGCTGTCACGACTCTGATAAGGACAAGCTGAAGAGGATGACTAGTGTGAAAAATGTGCATGACAAGTTTTATGTTAACCACTAAATATTTTTTAAAAAGAAAAGAAAATATATGCTCAGCAACCTTTATTAAAAAACAAGTAGCATACACTAAAGAATG